TAACTACTTCTACTAACTACTTCTACTAACTACTTCTACTAACTACTACTACTACTACTACTACTACTACTACTACTACTACTACTACTACTACTACTACTACTACTACTACTACTACTACTACTACTACTTACTACTTACTACTTACTACTTACTACTTTTACTACTTACTACTTACGACTTACGACTTACGACTTACTACTTACTACTACTTACTACTACTTACTACTACTTACTACTACTTGCTACTACTACTACTACTACTACTACTACTACTTCTACTACTACTACTACTACTACTACTACTTACTACTTACTACTTACTACTTACTACTTACTACTTACTACTTACTACTTACTACTTACTACTTACTACTTATACTACTACTACTGCTGCTGCTACTACTACTTTTACTACTACTACGACGACTACTACTACTACTACGACGACGACGACTACTACTACTACTTACTACTTACTACTTACTTCTTACTACTTTTTACTACCTACTACGTACTACAACAAGAATTACACTTCCGACGGCAAACATCACATGGAAGGGATAGTCTGACTCACTAGGGCCACGCCATCCACTTCAATGTTAGTCAGAGTTTTTGTGCAGACCACACCTCTGAGTACTCATGGAATGGTCGAAGAAAGAAGCCATCATCAGATATCATCAACGATATTTGCCCACAATTGTAGTACTGTAGGACTGCAGGACATTATTGGACTAGGAGACATCCCAAACAGATACACATGATGACAGAGCAACAATCACCTCAAGCTGTGGTTTCCGGTTTGTGACATCAGGCTGTGTGATGTTCGCACGATGTCACTCGAAACAGGCAACAGGTTTGTGACATCGCCTCCAAGACTTTGCTGAAAAAGACATTACTTCCAAACAACACGAAAGAGGTTCCTTGCATGCAATTTCATCATTGAACAATAATTGATTGCACAATACTTGGCCATTCCATGCCAATCCCATTTGTTTCAATGTGTTTTCCTTCACGAATGTGTTTTCCTTCACGAAACTGTGCCAGCAAAAACATCAAAGCTGCATCCGCCAGGCCGTGGCACAAAGTGTGGGCTCCCAACGACGAAGGATTTGGGGCCAAGGGGAACATACACCGTGCACTGGACTTAGACATGAATGCTTATATGAATTATATGATATGAGATTGTTGAAGAAAGAGGTTTGGGCCGGCGAGAAGTAGGAAGGCTCAAAGTTGAAGATCTCTCGGCTCATCGTGAAGCTCGTGAAGCTTGCATGAAATCGTGGGTTAAGAACTGTAGTTTCTTCACCTGATTCGCATTGGACCAGGTTGAGAACTGTCTCATAGACGGAAGACGAAGTCCCTGTTTTCTAGTCCCCAACAATCTGAAGGGAAAATCATTGGGAAATCTTCTGAAACAACGGGTCACAGTCACTCTCACTCATTTTCTAAACATCGACCAGTGGTCTCTCTGGGATCCATGAAATACACACAGGCCCATTTGCTACCCCATCCCAGACACTCCATGTATGGCATACGTTGGAGTGGTTTCAGGAGTCAATGTAGGCATATATCAGATCACATAACATGGAGTGTTTGGGCGCGCTTCGTGGTGTGCTCCGCTCAACCAAACGGCTTAAAAGGGTGGGTCCCCATGGTTCGTGCGTACTCTGCGGGCGGTCCAGCGGCACTTAGGTAAGGCATCTCCAGAGTACCAAAGGCGGGAGGGGGGAGGGGAGATGAGGAGCAAACTGCGGAGACATCCGAAAACTATCCGAACACCATTAAAATCCTATAAGCCCAGTGCATCGAACGGCTGAAATATCAGAATTGCCTAGTGGGATCTCTAACATCAGCCTTTCGACGTGCCAGGAAGTTTATGACCAAAACATCAGTGGTTTGGTTACCATTTATCCCTGTTGCCGGATCCAGGCAGACGAAGGCCCGCTATACATATTGTATACATATTCCGTGCTTCAGTTTTATCCGTGTGGCAAAAAACATGCTTTTGTTAAGACGTGTTTGCATGTTGTTGTTTAAATGTGAACTCCACTTCACCCGATTGGCCCGTTGTCAGGTTGTTTATCTATGCTGTGTGAGGCCACGTTCTATGGCAAATAACGAATAACGCCTCTTGTAATGCCAGAAACGGACCTTCTACGCCGAAGAACTGCTTTCTATATAATGTCCTTCTACGGTTTGTCTACACTTCTTGAGCTGGGCCGGAGGCAAGGAATGGCAAGCGAGAAAATGGTATTCAATTGATATACCACTCTGCCATACCGTGCCTTTTTCCTACCACCCTCCACTACATATCGTTTTTTCCACCCCAAGAACCATTATTTATAGTAAATTATATCATTTTCTAAAAATAACATGTTTGTTTAGTATATGAAACTAGTATCTAAGATAACACTATAAAACTATATATATAAACTATAAGTGTTTTATGATTAATATTATACCGCCCTATCGGCCTATATACCAAAACCATCTTTACCTCACCGAGACACCAGACACCTCCACCGGACGTCGTCGTTTTCACCGTCCCAGGTGCCAAGGCCTCGATCGACTCGATCGCCCCACGACGCCGAACCACCTGGCCGGGGGCGGTCAACGCGACCGGAGCGAAGCGAAGCGCTTCCAGCGGTGTCGGTTTTGGGGTTTTGGGGTCGACCGGAGGACCGGTTTTGTGGTGTTTTTTTTTGAGTTGTTTGCCGGCTGAACAGTTCAACATATGAACAACATGTATAGTTCATTGCAGTTCATTCAATTCTATGTCCTAAGAATGTCGAAGAGTAGTTCGAGGTTCAAGTGTGTATCTTGAAGAACTAACTTAGTACTTCCAACACATACCTTTCTCGGATGGAAGTCCTTGTAGTATTGCCCGGAACGTGTGTATACACGGTCAGTTGACTGGCGGAGATCTTTGTGTGTTCGACTTGTTGTTCCCGGGCTGACGGCCCACCAAGTAGACTCTTGATTAGTTAAGACCCCCGAAGCCTTTTCAGAGGTGCATTTCGGGTGGCATTGGCATTGAATCAAGATTCTACAATGTTTGGTTTGAGCGTGTTTGGTTGGTTCCGACGAAGCTTGTTGTTTTGGGTATTGAATCAGTCCTCATGAGTTCGTTGTTTTTTTTTTTTTTTTTCTGCGAGCTGCAGTGGAACACGGGGAACAGGGGGAATGATACTCTTTGGGGCTTCCATTACCTCCGGTTTGAAGGCAGTTAGCTAGTATTTGTGAGCAATTGAAAGGCGGTCTAAGTATATTTTTGGAGAACGCAGTTGGAGCCCTAGGATGTGTTCAGAGAGGAACATACATCCCACTAACGCAGCTGTGCATGTTGGAATGATGATGCAAGTACAAGGTATTTGAATGTATTTCAATGAAAGGTCTTTCATGAAGGGTCTTTGTTCTTCAGTTTTTCACTCACTTGGGAGTCCCCAAGAAGCTGTGGTCTTCAGGAAGGAAGCAAGATCTCACTAAGTGGAGGGCACAAGTTGCGAGATCGAGATCGATCCGATCCTCCGGATGCCTATCCTTTTGGCGACGGATTTCAGAGAGACACTATTCTGCTCGTCCGTGCTCCGTGTCGGCGTGCTCCGTGCTCCGCACTGGTCGAGAAACATGAGAAGTAGCAGATTGATGTGTTTCTTTGGACCGCAACGACTCTGGAGGACGGTCAAGGAGTTCAAGCTTACAGTCATAGACCCTGCACGAACGAAGCTACGTTAGATTGGCTGAGGTCTTGAGATGTGTTGAGATTGCCCTCCCAAAAGGCTAGTCTATAGAGATGGAACGCACACCTTGTGTGCCGTTGAACGTGCTGAAGCAATGCTTCCATTCCGTGCACAAAGATGGCTTTTTGTTCCTTTGTTTCTGCAATCTGGTCAGAAGTTCTCACCCTATGTCACTGAAGCCTTTTGCCACACGTCCTCACCCCGTGGAAGTAGGACCGCTCCATCAGCAAGCGGCAGTGGAAGTGGCTCGGCGCAGTTTCTGCGGACATGGGGGTGGAAGGTGTGACGGGCGGGTTTTGCCGCCAATCATTGAAAGCCGGTGAACGGTGTCTTTTAGCTTTCAACACGGTTTTTGACATGTTTTGAATATGATATGCATATATTTTATGTATACACAATGTGAGTGACCATGGGAACTTGAAGCTCCAAGTCTTTGAAGACATTCTTTGAATGGATTTGTCTGGCAGCTGTGCACTCCAAGGGCCCTACGGCCCACGCGCTCCTTGGGGAAGTCAAGCGCTTTCTTCTATCGACCCCCTGATGGAGTGGATGGAGTGGATCTTGTGCGGGGTCGAATGCGTCGGTTTTTCATTCCAAGCGAGTGCTGCGAGCCCCGGGTCCACGGTCACACATGTGATTCTTGGCGACGAAGAGTTTTTCATCGGGCAGAAGACTCACTGCCTGCTGTAGAAAGAGTCTGACTGGAACAAAATTGGTCAATGCAGCCGGTCGCGCATGGTTTAAAGTACACCCTGACAGTACACCCTGACAGGTCGCCTGACAGTCGTCGTGAGCGAAAAACCAAGTCGACCTCCTCGACCGACGGGTCGGTTCATTGGCGAACCAGTCATGGCCAAGGTTCCTCCTACGGGACTGGCGATTCGAGGCGGCCGACGGATTCCGAGCGAGACGGGTGGGACGTCGCCCAAAGACGGTTGTTTGCGCCCAAAGACAGATCACATGATCAGAATAGAATAGCATATACTAGTATGTGTTGTCATGTTTTCCCGAAAGACTTGGCGAAGGGGCGTTTCATAGGAGCTCCGTGCATACTAACATGTCAACATCTAGCATGACTTCTTGCATGTCTTGACTTGATTTACTTGAGTATAGTAACATGTCAACATCTAGCATATCCTGACCTAGCGTGACTTCTTTTTGCATGTTTTGACTTCCTTGACTTGACTTACTTGACAGAGTGATGTTTATTCATAGCGTCCAGTTTTATTGTTGTTCTTTCGAGACGTGACGCAGGCAAAACAGGATGTGCTGGGGCCTGGACCATCCTGTCTGGATGTCCTTTCTGAAGATCCCCAAGTAGTGTCCTGGATAGTCCAGCCAGAACACCCCAACAGGATGGTCCTGGTATGCAGAAAAAACTGTAATTAGTCACTATGTAGTCAAGTGGAGTAGCTCTTGGCCTGATTTATTCTTATTGCAACCACTGGGTGATGGCATCTCAGAGGAACAAGTATTGGTGGAACCGGAACGCTTTGTAGAGAAAAGTTATCTTCAATTGAAGACCAGCTTCATGTTTTTAGTATTTGTACAAAGGGCATTCGCTCGATGCCATCGGAGAGGCCAAATCAGTTCGTATTGGCAATGTTCAGTTTTGTTTGACAATTGCCTACAAAGAAACTCATGTTCCTTCTACAGGAGCTGGGTGAAACGGCATTTCTTCAGACTTCCAAGTCTGTCAAAAGGGATCCCTTTCAGTAGGTTCAGTAGGTTTTATCCAAATGCCACTTGAGCCGCCATTAGCTAGATTCAGAAGATAAAGGGGGTAACCCTCCGTTCTGGTGAAGTCCTAGAACATATGACACCAACTTCCAAAGTTTCAATTGACACTATACAGTGATTTATTTGGTTCCAATATGTTCCAAATACTCCTCCAAGTTCCACTTCACATGGTCAATCCCTCATTCAAACGACACCTTATGCCAAAGAAGGAACCAGACATCCAAATTGGTTCATCCTCAATGGGGTTCCAAGACATAGAACGGACCCGTTTTTCTCTCTGGTACTGTTCACTTCACCCAAGTCTTCCACGACCTGCGCAGATCCAGAGATATTTGGAGGAACACGAGGTGCACGAGGTGCCATTTTCCCTTGAAGTGTGTGGCGCGGTTCCGCTGGGACGCAATGGAACCTGGGAACTCACCGGTTTTGGGTCAGAACGAGGTAAGATTTGTGTCATGATCTGTCCTGAACATCAAGGATTGTCACCTCACACCCAAAGGTTCGACCCCAAGCGTTGGGGCCGGGTCCCAACCGGGTCGACCGCCTGTGGTCGACCGACCGGTGTGGATGGCCCTGGGGCCCACATGGCCTTTAGGCAAGATGACGGACCTTCCTTTTTGGTTGGGGGCCCGGAATTGATGGTTCAAGCTTGGACAGCATCTAATTATTTGTTTTCCAGGAGCTTCCCAGTGACCTTTTGAGATCCCAGAATGACGTCACTTAGGCCTTGAAAAGGTCACTTACCAATCCTGAAGAGGTCATTGAGAAGGTCCTGGTTATTTTGTTTTTAACGATTGTGGTTCTTTGGATTTTTGGAGTCACCAATCCTGCCAAAAAGTCTGAGATATTCTGAGACCCCAAAGTTCGAACCACCGAGCAAACTCCGGAAGGTGTTTTTGGCTCCACAGAGGTGACCCGTCAATAGGACCTGGTCCACCTGAGGTACCGAACTGCGATAGGTCTATTCGATCGATGTCTATAGGGTTCTACAGTTTTCCTCTTTGGAAAGTCCTTACAAACATCAGAACGGGCGGCTCCATTTTTTCACCCACAGCATGCTACGCTGGCCTAACATCTATATATGTCCCGGCCCAGGCGGTTCGCTCGCGCTGTTGAGCTGCTGGAGCCGATCTTAGAACTAAGAATGAGCTTGACTCCTTTTGCTCATCTGAAATCCTAAGGTCAACGGCCAAAAAGGAATTATGCAGACACTGTTTGATTAGTCAATGGTGGTTGTAATATGTTGTAATCATGCGCATCATTCAAAACAGAGAACAGTCACTGGGGTATACAGGATCGATAGCTCTTCCAGAAGAAATGGTCACACCTGGTTTCCAGATTCAATTCCAAAAGAGTTCCTGAAAACCAGTCTCCTAGGAGAAGTTTGGAAGGCTGGGATGCTTTTATCAAACAAGTTAAATACTTTGCCCCCAAATCTTTTGCCAGGGTTTCCCGCAAGCTTCTGATTCAAGTAAAGACTTGGAACCAGTTGCTCATCGTTCGCCTGGAGAAGACCCTGTAGCAGAATTCTCGACTATGGTATATACCTCATGAAAAAGACGGCGGTCATGGGCTTTGGATGGAAAGAATGCCACTTTGGAACCCAAAGTTACTGTCATAGCGAATACCCCGAGAAGATGCCGGTCGACCTCCAAACGTGAGGTGTTGCCGGGTTCGAACCCCGTCGGTGAACCCGGTCGAACCCGGTCGAACCGAAGCCGAAGAAAGGTAGGTATGACTGGACCATACTGGCACAGACCTCATGTTCAAACGGTCCCAACCTCGGGTCTCCCTATTGAAATACACACCGTTACGCTGGTCTCTGGTTTTGGGCACTGAGGCGATTCTCTGAGCTGCCTGTAGCATTGGGGTCGCTGCAGGTAGCTCCCCACAGATGAACTCGGCAGTCCAATCGCGCGGAGGGTTCCTCTCCGTGCTGGGAACACGTGCGAGCCCGGCTCCAGGCGGAGGGTTGAGGGATTTGGTCAGTCGGGATGTGATCCATTTTGGTTGATCCACGAATTGGTAAAAATGACACCGGAAGCCTGATATCCATTGTCCTTTTGGGGTGTGTTATATATATAACGCTGTTGTTCGTATAAATTTAAGTTTGATTAATTCGTCACGCCAGTTCCAGGAGAGATGGAGAAGATCGACACCGTTTGTTTCCTTTATGTTGAAGTAGAATGATTGTGGTTGAGTTTCCGATTTTGGTGCACCGTTTTCGACAGAACATTAGGGAGTACAACCAAAATAAATAAACGTATGCATATATATATATATATCTATCACATTATAATATCACATCATATATATATATATGCACCACCAACCTTTTTTCATGTTTTGAAGACAAAAACATCACAGTGTTTCTTGTTGGGCCATCGCTTTTCAGTTGGAGGCCATCGCTAGTAGGTTGGAGGCCATCGCTACAAAAAGGCGTTTTGATAGAAGAGACGCCGTTCAGTAACACAGAACCGACCGTGCAACCCGCATGATGCGGTCACACGTGGCTTAGCGGTCCCGGAGCTGGGTCCACTGGAGCGGTGACACCCGTGTTCCGCCACGCATCACAAATAGGGATCGAGGAGTGGCATTGGGACGAGTTTGGTCGAAAGGTCGTTCAAGTGCTCGGCATTTGTCCCATAAGGCCGGAGGGTGACGGCTTTGGGAATCCGAGACCTGGCAAGTCTTGATGTTTTTTTCCAGTATGGACTCACAATCCAGTCAAATCATACCTGATATGTCCAGTCGTTAAGTGTTAGAGTGTCAAAAAGGGCAAGGCATGAGAGGAAGCTGTGGAGGTCCGACCACAGATTGATCAGAGAGACCCTCCACGAAGGGAGGTAGAATACCAGCACCCCACTTCACAGGTCACCAATTGAGACCTGTGTTAAGCTGTTAAAACCCAACAAGCCTCTAAAGGAGACTTGTTGGAGGGGGCTGGTATTTGTAGAACTATTCCAGATTCCAATTCAATCAGACCTAACAAAGGCTTGCAAAGACAGACTGTTTTTTTGTGGGATAGTTTCCGTCCAAGACTAGGTCCTTAGGTCCACTTTTTGATGAGGGAATTGGTCAGTTCCAGTCACGCGGTCGGTCACGCCGTATAGCCAAATCGCCAAACAAGTTTGAACCACTAACCCCTATAGGATCCAGTCGTACCAGGTACGGTGAGGACGGAGACAGGGTGATGTAGGTGCCAGGAGGGTCCAGTTGTACCTTCTCAGAGAGTATATGGATCCCTAGGCAACATCACGTCCGACCCTGTCCGAGCAAGTTTGGTTGTGTTTGGACGGGTCAGCAGATGGGGGGACCGGTCCCCGACCTCATCAAACCAGTCAAGGTCAGCAGTGATGAGCTGAAAAGTGGATCACCTGCAAGTCCGGACCAGTTCGGTGAACTGGAACACTTCGGAAACCAGAATTGGACCTCACCCGGGGAAGTTCCCAATAAACATTGGACTCACCGAAATCTTCGGAAACCAGAATTGGACCTCACCTACACACATCCGACTTTCCTTCGGTGGGTGAAAGAAGAATTGGGAATCACCCGTCGTCCGTCCGGGTCGACGGATCCGGATCGACGGATTGGAACCACGGTGGACCTACGGTGGACGCGCACGGGGCACATGGCGGACCCATCATTCTCGGTGCGTTGGGCTTGACCAGCGGGTGGATGTGTGATGGTGGATGTTGATAGATTTCACCATGGTGAGGTGGATGAACCAGGGGAACTAACTAGCAACTCAAGGAAGACTCTCAACAGCGTGTGGTGCGTCGGCTTTTTTCGGCAGGTGGTTTAAATGCGGCGAAGCACCGTGGGTTCGTCGGGGCCTGTTGGTCCCATGAGACATGTGACTGGGTGTAGGGTTTAGGGTTTGCTTTCCAAACGAGTCTTTGGAAGAGCTGGGTTCCAACGAGTGGATTGCTTGGATCAATTGAAGAATCTCACGCTTTCCAGTTCAACGATCTTTGGCACAGTAAATACACATATCCGTTTAAGTCTCGTGTCACCTGAAAAACCGTCAGACGATGTCAGATGATGTCAGAAGTATTTACACCCTGGAAGACTAACATGGACCCTGAAAACCACTGGTTGGTAGAGAAAAACAATCTTCCAGGGGGCCATTGTCAGGATCTATGTTAGTTTTCGGGAATGTATTTCATGTGTGTTTCGTTTTTTTGTTAAAAGTCGATGGGACTTTCCAAGTCACATGTTATCTCTTTGGCAACTTGCCCAAGGTCTCGGCTGTGCAAAGGTGTAGCCTACTTGCTGCAGCTTAGCACCACTACAAAGCATAGAAGGGCTTCTGCACCAGCTGATATGGATGACGAGCCTTTGAGATGTTTTCTTGGCTTTCGTTTGTGCCCAAGCAATTGGTTTAATTTGTTTCCTGGGCTCTTGATGTAAGAAAAGCCACTAGGTACTGAAACAGTAAACCTCAAGCAAAGGATACTGTTTGCTAGTAAACATGGGATATTTATGGATATTAAAGATATTTTTGTATATTTTTGTATCGTTGCAGATTGTTCTTTGTGGCTGAGTTGTGAAAGAAAGAAACCACTGTTCAAGAGCTTTGGACTATTGACCCCAAAAACATGGACTGGTCGACGGTCGCTTTGCCGCAATGTATTTTAATCGCAACGGGCCCTGGCGTCAGTTCCGTGTCTTCCGAACCGCGGCGCGCAAGCGGCAGAGAATCCCGCGCGGGTCGTGGTCGAGACACCGCGCGGTCGGACGTGCTGCGCCACTGAATGGACCCCGCTTCCGCCCTTTCCCCTTTTTGGGTTCATGAACATGCAGAAACAGGAAGAAACAGAAAGACAAAATCACCTCCCATCATGAAGAATTGGTATATCGTCCTGGACTAGTCTATGGACTCCCTTTCTCAGAGAGCTGTGGTTCTGCGGGTCCTTACAGCGTCGACGCTATGGAGTTGCCATTAATCGCTGCTCGCGGTGTTGAGGAAGTGATTGTCTTTGACCACAAAAGCTTAGACAAAACCAACAAGCACAAATCATCCAACAATACCCCCCTTGTGGGATACACCTGTTACATCCTGTTGCCTGAAAGCTGAACACAATCAACATCAACATCTTCACCGAAAGGAAAACAGGCAGAAAGGAACCCCCTCGGTTCTGGGGAGCTGCTTCCCATTGTTCAGACCGGCCATGGGTCGGAGTCCGCCGTGGACGGGCGACAGTCGACGGTGGTCACGAACGGAGGGCGTGTGGTGGGCGGAGCGGCGGATCAGGTGATGGATCAGGTGATGTTTGATGTTCCCGAACTGGGTAGAAAGAAAAAAGACGCATCTGCTAAGGGGAAGATCATGTTCTTTCCACGATTCGTTAGTTTCAGCAAATCGGAGATGGTGTTCGATTCATGCGCTTCCTCAGCACCTCCCGGGGTGATATGCCTGGGGTAGGCATGTCAAATGTGAGAGAACCGTGCCGCCGATGCGGTCGGCGGAGCTCGTGGTTTGGCGAAAAAGGAGCGACTGAGAGGAACAGCGAGGTTCACCTGCGAAGCCGTAGGGTTTGTCCCTGTAGTGCCTTGGTGAAGAAGAATGATATATCTCACGGTAACAGGACCGACACCGTTCAAGGTGTCTATAAATATCCTCTTAGTGGTGAGTCGGGGTGTCCAGAAAGCACCGGACTGGGAAGGTGCTGGTACATGTATAAAACTCCAGAAAGGCCGGATATACCGAAGCACTATCGTCCACTGGGCCCAGGATATATGGATATGGATACTGTATGCCATTTGCAAACCCTTTGGGGCTTGGGGAATGTGAAGCACCTGGTCTGAGACCACATCCATACCACTCATCACTGCTACATGGTTTCTCGGTCTGGTTCCGTCTCAGTCCTGATAGCGCTTGCTACACTTGGGGGGTGACACCCACGTGACACCCGCATGACACTTCGTCTCTGGTACCTGTATCCAAATCCATCCCAGTGCATCCCAGCGAACAGGATTCGGGGAAGTTCGTTCGGTCGACCAAGTCGAATTGGAACGGACTCCCAGCTAGAACTGGACGTACCTGGACCATCCTGGACCTCTCAGTTCGAGAAGAGCACAGTTCTGAACGCAGATTTCAAGCACTGCTTGTAGGTTGAAGAACTTTATGATCTTTATGACTTGCATAGGCGTAGGATCTTGATGGCTTTCGATTTTTTTTGTAGACGGAGTCAAGGCCCAGTACCAGTTCAGAAGCCTGGAGTGCAATAACACAATCGACCAATCGTCATACTTGGGGTGTTCAAGAGTCAACTAGGTAACTAGGTGGTTACATTTATAACATTATGTCTATAAACTCTATATATTTATCAACCTTTTACATGGGATTATGTTACCCACTGACTTGTATTTGTCTAAGCGCGTTGAAACCACCAACCAATACCAACCAGGTCAAGATTCCTTGTCGATGTTGGCCCGCAGAACTGGGACGGACTGCGTCACCTGTCAGCTATCAGGGTCGAGCGGCAGATCTGACACCGTTTGGATGTGGGTCAAAACCGGAACACCCTAGTTTTTCCCACCGAGAATGAACTGAATCGACCACCTGGGAGGAAAACACCTATCCTGGTGAACCGGGGCTCCGGGTTTGGACTCCACAGCCATTTGTTTGACCTGAAAAAAACCTGGGGCTTTTGCATGCTTTTGCTAAACCACAAGGACCTGATGTGGGCACCTGTCAGCTGGACGCTTCGCATCCTCCCCGCCATCCTCAGCGTCGGTCTCCGGCGGTCCCGCCGTGTGGGTTGGGCCGCCATCCACGATGACGGGATCCAGCGGGGGACCTAGCAGGATGACGGGAGAGGCTCTTGACTCCGCGGACCTTGGGGACCATGGGGTCCAAATGGGTGGTGCATGGCCCAGGAAATTGAAAGACAGCAAGACTTCCAGATTTTCTTGCGTTGATCATCTTTTCGACCAGACTATTAGACCTACCCAGACTATGGAACTTTGATGCAACCGTCTCGGGGGGG